CTATAAAATAACAATTCTTCTGCCATTTTTCTTAATTCAATGTCGGTCCCTTTTTTAATTTTATTGCGTCACCTAATTTTAACTTATATTAGTTATAACACAAGAGTGGTCCTTGTGGCTGTGGTTAACTGTAACACGCAACTGTGAAAAAATTAAAGCCCTTGGCTTGAGGACGGGGTTATCCTATAAAAAGATCCACTTGTCATATAACTATTGTATTGAAAGATATATCTTTCGATGAAGAGGAAGAAATGGATAAAAGGAAATTCTATAAATTAAAGTTGAGGAATACTTAAAGGAAGAATATTTTATATTTTACAAAATATAGATACGCTATATTTTGTTATGCTTAAAAAAAATCGAATCAGTAAAAAAAAAATACAAACAGATGTCACATTTCACGATATATATAGTAGTGGGGGATTATGGGACAAAAAATAATTCCATTTGGCATGGTGCTAGAACCTTGTTTCAAGATGTTTTTGCTGGAGCATTCCAAAAACTTTGAGATCCAACTACAAGAAGACAAGTAGTCTAATACAATATGCTTTGTTAATTGTTACTTTTCATTTTTATTTTCTTTTTGTGATTTTTAGATGGGTTACCAGATAAATCTTGATTTGAATCACTGCCTTTTCTTTGACTCTTGTTCTTTATTTATCCGGGAGATGATCCCAAATAAATAGGTATGAAAGCTATAATTGTAAACCACGATCAAATCTATGGAAGCATTGGTTTATACATTCCTTTCAGTCTCAACTCTAGGAATAATTTTGTTTCGCTATCTTTTTTCGATAACCACCTAAAGTTCCAACTAAAAAGGTCAAATGATTTCTCAATATCTCAATTGAAGTACGGATTCTCCCCTTGTTCCTCGAATGGATCTCTTAGTTGTTGAGAGGGTTGCCCAAAAGCAGTATATAAGGCGTACAATTTTTTGGCTAATAAAAGGGATCAAATGGTATAATTCTTTTGTTGGTAGATTGGAGGAATAGAAACATGACTATTGCTTTCTAATTGGCTGTTTTTGCATTAATTGCTACTTCATTAATCTTACTGATTAGTGTACCTGTTGTATTTGCTTCACATGAGGGTTGGTCGGGTAATAAAAATGTTCCATTTTCCGGCACATCATTATGGATTGGATTAGTCTTTTTGATGGGTAACCTTAATTCTCTCATCTCCTGAACCTATTCATTCTATATCCAAAAATGAAATGCCCCTCCCAATTCCTTCAGGTTGTGAGACACATTAAATTTCAACGTAAGCCCCAAAATTTCAAATAAAGAAAAAAAATAGAAAATTTGAGGGGGGTGGGTCAAACTTTTGTGGTTTTGAATTATAAAAATATATATAAATACAAAATATTAAATCAAAATAAATAGATGTAAGCTAATAAAAAACGAGTCTCTTGAAACTGCTAATCAATTTCTTGTACAACCAAGAAGAAGCCACCCCAATGGGTATCCTTTCACAATCTTTAGGAGCAGAATAGCCAATTTGAGAACCAAGCTATTTCGATGCCTTCTTAATTAGCGTGGCAAGACAATTTCACAAAACCACTGGATTTACAGATTCAATATTACTCTAACAAGAAGAAAAAGATCAAGATTAAATTCTTCATATTTATCGATTATGTACTTACGTAAAGAATTATGGTCATAAATTTCTACTTTTTTGTTGGGTCAAATAATTTTCTATTGTTTGAATAAGTCTCTATAGCTAATCCTCCATATTCAACTTCAAAAGTTATGCCCTTCAACAGTTGGACAGACATAATATAAACGACCAGATAAATGACTCTTTGTTTCCAAATGCAGAAAACATTTTGTTTTGCTGGAAAACTCAAGGGCAACTCAAGGATTGATCATTTCAAATTAAGACGAGATCGATCGAATTGTTGTGTACATTATCTTACTTTTCAACACCAGGAATAAATTTTTTTTACAAATAATGTATTTCTGTAGTATAAGTTACTAATTTCTTAATCTTAATTTGAATATCATAGATGCAAATAATTATTCAAATTGAAGACTGTTTAGTCACCAAATGTATCAATAAAATGAATAGTTCGTTATAAATCTTTTACTTAGTGTCTACACTGTCGATTGGGTTCATATATTTAAATGACTAAACAATCTCAGACTCAAATAATTCTTTTTGTTTAGATGATCTTGAAATAAAGATTAAGAAACTGAACGATCACAATATAAAATTTGTAGAATATGTGCATTCCTCATAGGTGGAACGCAAGGATTATCCATTCTTTTACTTACATACACAACTTTTGGGTACAAGAAATGTGCTTTCTTTTAAATTACAGACCATGACTAGGTCTTTAAACTAGGACTTTCAAAGCCAATTTTGTTTACAAATTTTAACCCTTTACTATTCTATTCTTGTACTAGCAAGAAGAATGTGTTACTACTATACTTTGAAGGGTGTCCAAACCTTCTTAAAAGCCACCCCAATGGTATCCTTTCACAATCTTTAGGAGCAAAATAGCCAACTTGAGAACCTAGTTATTTCCAAAACCACTGGGTTTACAAATTCAATATTAAAACTCTCACAAGAAGAAAAAGATCAAGATTAAATTCTTCATCTTTATTGGTTCTGTACTTACGTAAAGAATTATGTTCATAAATTTCTACTTTTTTGTTCGGTCAAATAATTATCTACTGTTTGAACAATTCTCTGTAGCTAATCTACCATATTCAACTTCAAAAGTTATGCCTTCAACAGTTGGACAGACATAATATAAACATGAAGATAAATGACTCTTTGTTTCCTAATGCAGTTAACGTTTTCTTTTGCTAGAAAACTCAAGGGTAACACAAGGATTCATCATTTCAAATTAAGATGAGATTGATCGAACAGTTATGTACATTATCTTATTTTTCAACTCAAGGAATAATTTTTTTTGTATAAATAATGTATTTTTATATATATAGTATAAGTTATAAATTTTTTAATCTTAATTTGAATATCATGTATACAAAGAACTATTCAAATTGAAGACAATTTAGTTATCCAAATATATCAATAAAATGAATAATTCATTATAAATCTTTTACTTAGTATTAATACTGTTGATTGGGTTCATATATTTAAATGACTAAACGATCTCATATTCAAATAATTCTTTTTGTTTCAATGATCTTCAAATAAAGATTAAGAAGATGAACCATCACGGTATAAAATTTGTAGAATATGTGTATTCCTCATTGGTGGAACGCAAGGATTATCCATTCTTTTACGTACGTACGCACGCAACTTTTGGGCACCTGAAATGTGCTTTCTTTTAAACCACAGACCATGACTTGGTCTTTAAACTAGGACTTTCAAGCCAATTTTGTTGACAAATTTTAAAGAGCTAATAGTAAGCTTATCTTCCTTATTTCCAGCCAAGTGAAAGTTAAAACTGACAACGATATTGCCGTCGGACCTCGGTGGAGTTCTCCTTGAGCTTCCTCCATGTCGACTACTGCAGATAAATATAAAATAAAATAAAAATCACATTTATTAAATGAATATCTAATTATATTTAGGAAGAATATATTTACACATCCCAAATTACTTCTCACATCTTTTTAATTTTTTTAATATTTATTTATCAAGTGCTAATGATGTGTAAAAAATATTAAAAATTAAAAAAATATGGGAGAAGTAATTTGAGATGTATGAATATAATTTCTTTATATTTAAGAGGGCATAATAAATGATGGGTAGTATTGGAGCCAAATACAACGTACCTTACACGGGTAGTTGTGCGCATTTCTTGAGGAGTTTTTCTGTTCTCCTCAGTAAACACAATTCTTATCTCACGCCCACCAATGACTGTATGTTCAACTGTTGCTTTGCTTCCGCTGCATCCTCACCAAAACGGTACTTCACCACAAACCCAAAACCCCATGGCTCCTTCTTCTGTATTTAAGAGATCAATCTCCAGTGCCTCCTTCTTCTGAGGTACTGCCGAGTACTGAGATTTCTCATGAACAACCTTTATGAAGGGTTCATCTTGTTTGTCCATTTTAACTCATATGTATGCACATACCTGTAATTTCTCGGAGATATCAATAGATAAGCTTTATTTCATTCAATGTATTATGTCAAATACAACAAAACAAATACTTCACTAAGATGTGATACTTCTGGACCAAATATCAATTTATCTTTACCCTCAAGAAGATAAATGATTATTCTTAGTATCTACATCATTTTGAGTATTCAACTCATAATCTTCAATCCTTATGATTCTTTAATATCATAAACATCATGGATAATATCCGTGTTGGTATATTGTTCAATCAACAATTTGAGACAATATTCATTTCAATACTTTATAATCTTTCTAGACTTTTCAGGAGTCTCAATCTAATGTCATCAACTCTTGCAATAGCTTTTAGTATGTTGCAACAATATCATAATGATAATACTCACTAAGGCAATTTATATCATCCATTGGTATTGAGTACATATTTTATACTTTAACCTTTTGGGACTTTCTTCATGCAATTTGAATCCTTCAAGGGTTTTCTACACTTTATGACACATTTTCCTTTGAAATTTATATAAAGCAACTTGCTTCCATGTATACTTGAGGGATTTACTTGTTGAGATGTGATGTGGGCAACTCATAACCATTCATATATAATTCTCCATTCATATGAACTTGTTTACAAGAGTATAATTTCAAGTTTCACTGAGTAACCTTGTGTCATATCATGAGACTGTATATCACTGTAAACTCCTTGGTTCAACATCTTTTGATTATTTGTATTATATACACATATATAGGTTCATTTTTTCACGTTTTATAAAATTGTAATGGAATTGCCTTTCTTCATTTTTTTGGTCAATAATCTTTCCTTTCGGCAACGGAAAAGATTAGGACTCAATATCAACACAGCTCATTGATGAATTTAGTAGCTACTTGTAAAAACCAAAATTACCATTGGTTATCATCAATCTGTGATCCTATATTCTCAAGTGCATGGGCATGCATAAAACATTTTCATTTCTTTTGGATATCCATTGCCTCTTTAAGAGCATTACACTATCTCTTCCAGTATAGTCATAATTTTAGATAATGCGGATCATAACCTCTTCTTAAGTGTTATAGAGCTTGGATTGGAAGCTCAACTTTCGGGAGTTGAGTCGTTGAAACCTATATTTCTACCATGCTTCCTGAATCACCAGCTACCATTCTTTAAAATCAGTTTCCTGGAAACAAAGATCATTCAAACGTCATTATTATTAAACCTATTAGCAAGAACAAAGATCCTTAAACTTCCTATTTCCATATATGAATTTAAGGAGGAGAGAAAAACAGAGTTATGCATTAATGTACTAAATGGAAACTAAACAAAGTGTCGTTTTCAACTTTCATAATCATAAAAATTTAAAATTTGGTTCCACAATAGCCCCAAAGAGAGAAGCTAAAATTGCTCACCTTGAGTTACAAAAGCCCCAAAAAAAATGAAAAACTGAAAACAAAACTGAATTAAACAACCATATGCAGCCAAATTAAACACCCACAAGCAGGATCCGAGGGTACAAACAAAACCCCCAAAATCACAAAAAAGAAATTTGAACGGAAAACCCATCTACAAATCCAAAATCACAGAAAAGAAATTAAAACACTTACATTGAGAAAGACGTAAAACTCACCAGGAAACGCCTGGGTACAAAATTTCTCCACATCCAACTGAAGAACCCAAGAAACTACTACAGGTTGGGTGGTTTTTCAGCCAGAAAGTGCGGTTGGTAATTTGTGAGACAAATATCGCAAGGTCGGAGAGGGAGAGAAGGCGGCGTTTAAGAGCGAAAGAAATTGAGGTTCGAGAGCGACATAAGTGTAGGGATGTAGACTGATTTGAAGAGGCAGGGCATTTTCACACATGTAACACATGCAACGCATATCTAACAATATACACATATATATATATATATGTATGTATGCAACATGAAGATTTCAGAAAATGAAGCATATAAGGATTGAAAATTCTGAAGGAAAAAAAAAAAAAAAAAAGACTTACAGTGACAGACGGCGGAGGACAAAGGTGCGATCGCGGCTCAAAGAAAACCCTAGCTCGATCCAAGTCGCAAGGCAAAGGTTTGGACAGTGTAGGAATCGAAGAAAACCAAATGGCTTTTCGAATTCGATTTTTTTTTTTTTTTGTTTGGAGTTTGGCCGTTGTGATTTGTAGTTTTTGAAGAGAGAACTGGAGAAATTTCTACTGGGTTGGTTTTTTTCAACAGGAAAGTGAGAGAGAGAAGTCGAGATCAGAAAGCGAGAGAAGGCAAGCTTTGGCAACATAAGGGTTTGTGGGAGAGATCGGAATGGATGGAAGGCTTCTGCAGTAGAGAAGGAAAGCATGAGAAAGAGTGAGAGATGAGAGAAGACAGCAAAGTGAAGGAGAGTCAGAGGAAAAGTCAAGAAGGAGTCGAAGCAAAGCCCTTCGATGATGATCGACGCGTGGACAGGATGGACGTCATTCCAATGTGCGGATGAGGAAAAATGGGGAACGACAAAGAGAAGCCGAAGCGATGATCAACACGTGGAGAGCATTCGGGCGGAAAAGAACAACAAACTCTGTATTCGAGGGCAAGAAGGTCATTTCCTACAGCAGAGAGGGAGAAAAGAATCGGAAAGAAAGGAATGGGAGGGGGCAGCACGGAAACTGAGTCTTAGTAGATAATAAAGTAACGTTGATTGTTGATGGTCCTAAATGGCTCAACTATTGTCTGTAAGAAAATCAAATAATTTGGGTCATTGATTCTCGAAAAAACACAAGCAAGGTAAAGATCTCCATGTAGGATCACTCCTACTACTACCCTTCTTGCAATCATCTATAATTTATTCAGCACAAAATAACAAAATTAATAATGTGAGGCATTTGTATTTGTGGGTCAAGCTAGTTGACCAAGGCATTGTGCCCGCCTCATCCTCATTGCGTTCAACTTTGAATCCTCTTCCCCGTAAATCAGAGCATTTTAGAATAAATTTGTAAAAAAACAAAGGGTGGAAAGCATTTATTTTGGTGTTGAAAGTGTTCTACCACTGCAACTAAGCTTTGATCCAACTTACTTTGTAGAAGTTTATGTTGCCATCAAATGGAATCTCGAGTTGACTAAACGGATATTGCAAAACCATGTGATTGTATTTCGACAAACAGAGAGGAGAATCGGAGCCATGTTAAATATAGGTGTCTGCAGCAACTTCGGCAATGGATTGACACTACCCATTACTTGGAAAGCTGGTCTATGGGGGTAATGACGAATTTCCAAGCGAAAAGCGTATTGCATAAGATCAACCAAAGCAAAACTACCCATCCACACCGCCAATATGGTCGAATAAATTTCCTTAATTTTGGAAGAGAGATTTCCATGATCTAATGTACCTCAACGTGGCCTCGGTTTCAGCGTCAAGCAGATTCTAATGAAACAATTCCAAACAAAATTACAAATCATGAGAATTTCCAATATGTTGTCTTGGTGGATGACACAGGAGGACTGATGGGCATGCGTGAGCTGATTTTAGAGATGGTCCCACTAGTCACCAACTGCGAGCAGGCAAAGGTCGCCGACATTGGAGCCACAGTCAGAGTAGTGATAAGACAAAAGATGAAATGACTTGAGAAGAATGGTTGCCCTCGAACTAGAATGAGCGAGTGATGCTAAAGGCAAAAAAGAGTAAACAAGTTTTTTTCGGAAGGTAAAAGATTTTTGTACAACACGCAATGTATTATTTATCATTTATATTGTATATTGCATTATAATCCACAGTTTGTAAAATCAAAACCGCATATTAAACCGTTTCTTTCATATTCATTTATTTTTATAAATTGTTTGGACTTTTTTATTTTTTTTGAGTCGAGCGATAACGTTTATAAGTTAGATATTAAATTAACCATCGACTGGATTCGAACTCACGTTATCATGTAAAGACACTTTTTTCATTATTATGATAAATGGCCATTTGCAAATTAATTGAACAATTAAACCAAAAGAAAAAAAAAAAACCAAATCAAATCAAATTAACCAACCCAAACGGTTTGGTTTTGTTGGGGTTTTCGGTTTTTCGAATTATTTTCAGCGGCGTTGGGCGTTGAGTCAAGTTTGGAATACCGAGTATGAATTGCAGACTGCAGTTCCGATTAATTGGTTCAAAGTAGTGTGGAGACTCTAAATGTTTAATAGGATTCGGCGGATTGGTGTGGCTGTTGGGACTTCAATTTGCAGGCAACTCGGTCAAGTTTTAATGGAAGCTATGGAGGATATGACTACTCTTTTCTCTTCTCAACTGGCTCTCACGAGCGAGGAACAACAGGTGATTGTGGTGGACAAGAAAGAAGGGCTTGTACTTAAGAATTCAAGGGTTTTCTAGTGGGTAAGGTTTTGACGAGGAAACCTGTCAATCGGGAGAGATTCAAAAAACACACGTATCATCTTTGGAGGCCAAGGGCCAGAGTTATGATTGTGGAGTTGGCGAATGATCTTTTCTCCTTTGGTTTTAATAACGAACGTGAAGGAAGCACAGTGATGAGGAGCGGACCGTGGCTGTTCGAGAGGGCACTCTTAGTTTTGGCTGCAGGAGATGATCTTACTCATCCCTCTGGGATTCCGTTGAAATTACAAGAATTCTGGATGCAGGTCAAAAGACAACCACTGGCTTATGTGACCCGACAAATGGGCCAATTTCTGGGGAACCACCTGGGTACGTAAGTAGTGACACACCAAAGCAGGATATATGGTGTGAATGGAAGCGTTCTTCGTATCCGAATGGTGGTAGATATATTTCGAAGCCTCTCCGTCGCAGTATACTAATTCAAATAGATGGTAAACATGTTGAGGTTTCGGTACATAATGAGAAATTAGCCCTAACATGCTTAATTTGTGGGATGGTAGATCACGTTGAGGAGCAGTGCTCGCATTTTCGAGGGCGCAATGATGATGTGCAGGAGTTTGAAATCTTCTTGTCTCACATTGGTTAACAGTATTTTTTCACTAGCCTTTATATAGACTTGTTCCTTTTTCTTAGTAATTAGAACTTGGACCATTTAGAAATGGATTGAAGGCTTAGGCTTGATGATTAAACTATAATATTACTATTAATTAATATTAATTAATCAAGACAAGGGCCTTGGGGAACTTGAGGACGGAAATACTGTTCGAATAACATAGCGTTTGCGCTAGCATCTACCTTCAATTCATTCAAGTGTGTTCTTGAGTATGGGGTCATCGACATCCTCTAGTTTGCAGAGGCCTATTGGATCTCCGTGCTTACCTATCGGATTTCTCACATGCCTAGGTTAGCTGGATTCTTCGCCAGGCCAATGTTGTCGCTCTTCGCCTTACGTGAAGTGATCTTGGACCAACTGGTGAGAAGACTTGGATTGGTGGGTCACCAGATCTTCTAATGGATGTATTGTTGGACGAAAACTCTGCATGATTTTCTATTTTAGCAAGTTATAATTTACTGCTTATTTGAGGATAGATAGCTATTTAAGCTATTTGTGCACAACGTTCTTTTTCTCTCGTCCAGGTTGAAATCTCTAACAGGTTTTTATCAAGGCCCTTATATGCACACTATCCTCCTATTTGTACTTATTCTCTTCCAATAAATGAATATCATACTCTTTTCAAAAAAATAAAAAAATAGTTTAAGTAAGGATTTGAGTTCAATAAGAAGATTCAGAACCTCTTTGGCCTTTGCATTCAACTCGAATTCCGTCGAGTTGAACTCAAACCCATTTTTATATGTTATTAAATGGTGAACAAGCACTAATCTTGTTCTAAAGTTGAAGTTTTTCAACCCACATTTTGCACCCTAGAGTCTTAAACCTTGTGTTTTTGGCCACTGAAAGTTTTACTTGTATTCCAAGATCTATAAATCTTAAACTTTATTTTAATGCATAGTCAAAATTAGATCTCTCTTAAATTACATATTTGGGCAGTTAGTTGACTCTAATATTGACTATCTTCCTTAATAAAATAAAATGTCTTTTAAGTCACTAGTAAGAATATTCTTTTGATATACATCATCAAACAATTCATTATTATTTGTATTCTCCAAAATGGGAGAAAAAAAAAAGAATTCACATATACCCTATGGTTGTTGCAACTTATAGTTATATTCGTAACCATTTGAAAAACACAAAAAAAAATGTCATTTTATCTAAACTACTAAATCTACAAAAAAGAAATTCAAACTTGAGTATAAAAAGATATAAGCATTCATTGTATCAAATTTCAAAGAGAGATGACGGGACGGAATGACGCTATTGACAACAAGTAGTCTAATCCACATGCACCACGGTCAAAACGGTTTAATTAAAATCTTACCACAACATATGCGCCAAATAAAATTTACCGCATTAAGAGGGGCAGCCGCATCATAAACCGCCAAGTTACCGAGGACTAGGTTGAAATTTTGCGTTTTAGTTAAAGCTGCAAAATTCAGACCAAAAAAAAAATAAAAGAAAAATAAAAGCTGCGACGGGCGAGATCGATAACGCTTGGAGGCTTCAAGTTCTCACGTGCTTCACCCCATAGCTTTCATCACTGAGCTGGTACGATTTTTCCTTCAAATTTCATCCTAATTTTTATTATCTTTGTGATTATTATCACGCTTGAATTCCATGGCTGTCGGATGAATCAAAATTCTTTTGCAGTTTCCAACATATGTATGTAGATACTGTATGTATCTCCGGCTTCAATTGTCCTCGTTGGGATATCCAATTAATTAGGTCAGTTTTTGTTTAATTGGGATTCTTAAATTTGAAACTTTAGGGATTTTAATTTGATTGGATTGACATTCTGGGTTGGTTTTGGATTTGGTGGTGGCAGTGTCACAGCCTACATTTTGCTTTCTGGAAAATATCTGTGTATTTGGCTTTTCTGAGAATTTAATCCTTTTTTTTATTGAGTTTTCAAAATCTGTTCTTGACTCTTGTAAAGCAGTAGAAAATATCTGTGTATTTGGCTTTTCTGAGAATTTAATCCTTTTTTTTTATTGAGTTTTCAAAATCTGTTCTTGTAAAGCAGTAGAAAATTGTATTTTTCAGTTAGCAATAATTTTTTTTTTTTTTTTTTTTAAATAGTTCGTTGTCTCCTAACTGCAAGATAAAAATGGTTACTTAGTATTTGTTTCATAACTTTCTGGGTTACTCTGTTTTTGTTTTTTTGTTGCAGATTTGATTCCTTGAACTTGAATTGGATCACTCTTTGGTGCAGTGCTTATTAAGTCTTTGTTGCGCATATCAACCATCATAGAGGACTTCCTGCTATCATATTATAATTTGGTACTACTCTACCTTTACCCTTCTTTTTCTTGTTTCATCTTTCTGTGCATTGCCTCTAGAGTGTAGTTTAGTCTTAATATCTCTTCTTAGCAATGATCATTTAACGAACATCTTTCCGAATCTGCAACCCTCAATGCCACAAAGTTTAGGTTTCAGTTTTCTTTGCAGACTGGATCAAATCATATACGGCTGTATGTTTGGTGTAATTTCCATTATGTGGATTGTTGACGATAAGTACTTGATAATTTGAAGTGTCCATCCTAACATGCTCCCTTGATTCTGTAAGATTCTAATGATGTTTATTGTCTTTGCAGTTGCTTTCAGAGGCTTGTATCTTAGTGAAATGGCCAATAACCCTCAATTTTCAGGTCTACAGGTAATTTGTAAACCACCTAGATTTTAAAACAAATTTTTTTGTTTTTCTTTGATGCTCAGTGTGTGTGTTTCTTTAATCTATATTTCCCGCCACTTAGAGATGAAGGGTGATCTTTTCGGATTCTTTTGAGGCCATTACTTTTTATCTACATTCCATATAGCTTAAGGCAGTCATGGCATCTTAGCTTCATGCATCAAGGCTTTTCTTATATCTTCATAGGTTCTTATGCATGTGAAGTGACTAAGTTCCATTCTCCGATATATTTAATATTTTGATTTTCCTCCATGGTCTTCTTGACTACTGCCTTCCTTTCCGCATTTTCCTCTGTTCTTAATATAATTTGTTTCTTTTTACAAAAAAACCCACCCATTTACCTTTCATAATTTTACTGGTTATACTTTTTCCTGTACTTGAATTTCTTTTAAAAAATACATGTAACTTTCAAAAAGGATGAAAGCTTTTGATTCCATAAAAGAAAAAATTATAAAAATAGATGTGGCCAATTATGCTTTGCTAATTAACTTCTCCATTTTCTTTTCCTTGTATAGCCTCTTCGGCCTCCTATAGTTGGTGCTGTTGATCCTCCTCGAAGTCTGCCACCCATGTCTTTTCAAGTAACACATTTCTTCTTGACGAATATTTGTGTCACCTGTACAATATTAATTTTTATAATTAAAATAATCCCTTTCAATTTAATTTTATGCTACAGTTCCGCCCAGTAGTTCCAACACCACATTCGCAGGAGTTCATTCCTGTGGCTTCTCAAAACTTTCAGCATGCTGGCAGGGGTGCTCCATTGATGAATGTTAGGCTGCCTCCCCCAAATCACCAACCCCAGTTCTCACAACCAATGCAGCATCTACCTCCAAGGTCTGGTCAGCCAGGTCATGGTATGCCTCCATCACAGGCAATTCCATTGCCAGTTGCTCAGCCTAACAGGAATTTTGCATCTGAGTTGCCTCTACCTCAGCCTAATTCACAAGCTCCAAATAACGTCATGCCTAACTTAGGTGGCCCACGAGCAGCTGTCCCTTCATCATATACTGTGAGTTTCATGAGTGTTCTTGGTTGACCTTTTGGTTTACTTGAAATTCTTTAGGCCTTGAATTCATAACTTGCACTTATGCAGTTTGCAACTTCTTCTTATGGTCAAATACCAAGAAGTTTCAATGACTCCACCCAGTATCAGTCTATACCTCAATCGCATGCAACCAGTGTTTCATCTGAGGGACAAGTTACATCTCTGCAGCAAGCCAGTGAAAGGCCTGCTGTAACCACCTCCAATGCTCCAGTAAGAATTCTTCAGCTTGGAGCCTAGTTGTCATGCTTCTCAGTTATCTATGATCATTTATTGCTAATGTTCATTATCCTTTAAAACTTCAGGAAACAGGTGTTCGACCTCCCCCGGCCGGAGGGACTGCAGCAGAGTGGAGAGAGCATACATCTGCTGATGGAAGAAAGTAATTAGTCTTACTTTTCCACATATTTGTATTGTACTCTTTGTTTTGTTAGAATGTTGTGCTTTAGTGATTACTTGGCTGATCTGCACTTTTCAAGGGTCACTCTTGCTAATTGAATATATTCTGTGCTGTATGAACTCTTCAGATTTTATTACAACAGGAGGACAGCATTATCTACTTGGGAGAAGCCTTTGGAACTGATGACACCTATGGAGGTGAGTCATGCAACTAACTTGCTTTTCCAGGTGTCCTTTTTTAAATTTTTAGTGATATCAATTGACAGTTTTCATTTCCGTGAAATTGTGAGCTTGTCTGTGTGTTTCCTTCCCGTGTTGATGCTATTCTTGCTGGGTTTGATTTATCAAGTTACTTGTGAGTGAAATGTCTTTCATTTTTGTACACTGAATGCAAACTTTTATGAAGTCTGGTGAAACTTTAGCTCATTACTGGAGTTCCTCTCAAGCAGGAACCCACGATTTTGTAATTTTATTGCAAGGTTACCAATGTCGAGGGCCTGGTTGGACCATTAGTTATTAAGCTTTTCTGCTTACATTGACTTGTTGCGATAAGTCATTTTTTGCAACTTTATTTATTTTAATTGGATCAACTATGGTGCTAAGTTCCCAAAAATTCTGTTGGTTACTATTCTCATAAGTTTATACTGTTAGGATGTCTTTTTTTTTTTTTTTTTTTTAATATTCACACTCCCCCTCACATGTGGGCCTGTCTTGACCAGTGGAGAACCCAACATGTGGAACTCTTAAATTGAGAGGTTGCAGTCCCAAGGGTTTAAAACCTAATGCTTTGGTATCAACCACTATCCAGGAAAGTTTAATCTCTTAGGATGCAGGCCAACTATTGTCTTATATCCCAAGAGTTCAAAAAAAGGGGAAGCGTTAATGGAAAAATTGTTGTTCTGGAAAATCCTACAGCTTTTGTAAGGGGAATATTTAGTACGTACAGAATGCTGTTTTGGTTTTGGAATTACTTGACAAGATTTAGAATTTTAGGCTACAGACATGTAGTTAGTAAATTTAAAAGAATACACAAAATGAGTCTCTCAATAATCGTTATCTGAGTTTCATGGTAATTGTATCATCTTACCTAATCTTTTTTGTTCAGTATACAAGTTCTGGTAAATGACTTGCATCTTTACTTCTTGTCATATTCTTAATCATTTAGTGTTTGACGTAATTCGAAGGTATTCTCTTTTGGTAAGCGCTTCCAGGGTATTATGAGTTTTGTTTTCTGCTGTTTTCTATTTGCATTAGTCCTAGAAACAGTGTTAATGGTGATTTAATTCCTTTTTAAGAATTTTTTTCAATTTATTCTTCATCCATTTCTGCATTGGGCGATGTCCATAGCTTTAAAGATGGTTACCGGTACATACCGTGCCAATCTATTGGGAGGTAGGATATGCTGTGGGTCTTTGTTGCTTGCTCTACATTGGTGTGATATGTTGTCTGTTCAATTCTTAGTGCATACTATTTGAATAAATTATCATATTTCACATTTACACTGATAAGAAACTCGAAAACTGACCCCATAACTTGCATAAGCATAATCTTTCTTTTATACATGCATATGTTGTGTTTCCAGTTTCAAAAACCTGGCTCTGATCGCTACTCATCCCTCATTATGGTATAAAAGATATCTTATTTGAGTTTTTAAAAAAATTTACTATCTTCCTTGTAGTTTGAAGGGTTTGGCCTCATATCGTTTGGGGTTTGTCCTTTAAATCGTGTGTAATCTTTAGTGCCATAGAGGATAAGAAGGTTGCAATGGCTGTTGCAATGGCTGATTATTTCAATAGCTTTGGCGACTTTTATCATTGGGATTCTATATTAGAATGGCCTTTGCATAAGTTGATGTTGCAAGTTGGTAAGGGTTAAAGACCTTTTTTGTCACTATGTTATCAATTTGTTAGGTGCTTCCAAACATAAACAATCTTAGTCCATTTTGTCTGTTTACAGGTAAAACATATTAAACTATTCATTAATTGATCTAAAATCAATAGATTTTTATTTTTAATTATTTAAACTTTAAAATTTCATTTGGATAATAGTAGTAAAATAAAAAGGAACATCAACCCCTAGCCACACCCACCAGTCAAAATCCCCCACCATTTTTAAAATTTGTATTAGCTGTTAGTTCTAGGGGCAATGGAGGGAGTTATGGGTATTATTAGACAGTTTCAGGTGAAATTCATCCATTGTTGACCTTAAGCAACTTTTGTCTGCGTGCTTTAATGTTAGGATGAAAACTAGAACTATTTTAGACTTAATATCATTTGGTTTTCGAATTACATCTTCTCCATTGGCTCTCTCTCGTATATTTTTACTGAAATGTGCTGATTAATGTCTTCTTCAATACATGTACACCTTTGTGTGCGTGAGAGAGAGAGAGAGAGAGAGAGAGAGAGTCATCGTCACGCGTCTTCTTTGTTGTGCTGGATTAGGATAAAATTGAATAGTTTTAAAATTTTTATTAGGACTGTAGTGCTGTTTATGCTTTTGCTGTAAGAACTTTGGTTCTTATTGTTTTATTCCTGCCCTTCCTTTCTCTAGCATTCTTGTTTGGGAGAAAGTATTATTTAAGATAGAGATTCGACTTATTTAGTATCTTCACTGGGACAGAGGGCAGATGCATCAACAAACTGGAAGGAGTTTACCAGTCCTGATGGAAGAAAGTGAGTAATTGGTATTTTTGCATTGAGAAAGTCATCAACGCAAGTTCACAATTGCACTTGCTTACTTCATCCTACATGCAAATGTTGCAGGTATTACTACAACAAGGTCACCAAAGAATCAAGATGGACTATGCCTGAGGAACTGAAGGTTTTTGTTCCAACCCATTCGCTTATGCCATTCATCATTCCCTCAACCTTTTATAGTTTTTCAGTTTTTTTTTTAATTTTCTCCCACTAATCCTCTAAAAAATATGTTTTTATTTATTTATTAAAGTTGGCTCGAGAGCTAGTAGAAAAGGCGTCTGTGAAGGAAATACAACAGGAAATGCTTGGTGATTATCATGCCACAGTCACTGTTTCCCCCTCTGTAGCTGAAGCTGATACTTCAATCGGTACTGCTCAAGTAAAATCAAGCCCTGTTTCGGTGGCACCAGTTGTTGCCACTGGTGATATTCAAACTGCTGTACCATCAAGAACATCTGCCTCACCTGTTGTGGACTCTCCTTTGAAAGAAAATCCCAGTGAAGTTCAGACACCTGTTGCACCATCTGCCACTGTTATGGGAAGTACTGAAGCTGCTGTCACAATCAACGATGCTGCTGCAGAACCAATGTACTGTCATTAACTGGTTTTTTTAATGAAATTTTCGTTTGCATTTGGAGGAGGTATATTTGGCATGTATTCCGAGAATCTGACTTTTCTTGCGCCCTATTTGTAGGGAAATATCAGCTCAGGATTTTGATAGTTCTGCTGATGGAGTTCCTGCTCAGGAGAATGAGGTATTTCTTAGGTTTCTTCTGTAGTTTTTGAATTCCTGACATACTTTTCTAGCAACTTATATAGCGAGGTGTTGCAGGAAGCTAAGGATGATGCAATGGGAAAGAAGATTAATGATATTGCTGCTGAAGAAAAATCAGTTGATCGGGAACCCATACCATATGAAAATAAACTGGTACAAATAATTTCAAATTTTGAGACACTGCGTTCTCTTTCATTGTTGCTTTCTCAAATTTGAATGCATTTCAGTTTCTGTCATTGTTACTTTCATGGCAATACCCTTATTATTTACCTTCTTTCTTTTTCAGGAGGCCAAAAATGCATTTAAAGCGCTCCTTGAGTCTACAAATATTGGTTCTGATTGGACTTGGGATCGGGTAATTCAATTATTGCCATATATGCTCTCAGTTTTTTCGCTAATATTGTTAAAAGTTCATGATATAATCCTGAAAATTAGCAGGCCATGAGAGTGATAATTAATGACAAGAGATATGGTGCTCTTAAAACACTTGGAGAGCGGAAGCAAGCTTTTAATGAGGTAAATCTTTCACATTGTTGTGTGCACTCGTATCAAAGAAATTAATACATATACCTAGTAGTGGTTTCATGAAAGTGAGTTACTGGGAAGGGGATGTGGTATTGTCTCAATCTTCTAGACTTTGGCACGTAGTGGTCAACTCTCAAGTACTGGATCCATGGATTTTTTTTACACTGAGGTTACCATTAAATCCTGACAGTCCTGTATGGGATTCTTATTAAGTTATAGATGTGTATTGTTTCAATCACTCTTAGGGTATATAATTGGTGCTGCTAACAATTCACTGTATATCTATATGCCTGTAAATAATCACTAATGTTGTTATTATGCTTCAGTTCTTGGTACAAAGGAAAAAGCAGGAGGCTGAGGAGAGGCGTATCAAACAGAAAAAGGCACGGGATGAATTCAAAACAATGCTGGAAGTACGTTGTTATCTGCTCCCCTCAAATTCTTCTTCTCTACATAGAAATTATATGCTTTGTCTCATTTATTTATTCATGGCTTGAATTCCTTGCAGGAATGCTCAGAGTTAACATCATCTGCAAGATGGGGGTCTGTCTTTCCTTGTATCAATATTCTTCTGTTTCTAATGTGTGGTTAATAGACAGTTTGATACCTATATGTATGTATAAGACTGATGGTTGAATTATCATACAGAAAAGTAGAGAGCATATTTGAAAATGATGAACGTTTCAAAGCTGTTGAACGGGATAGAGATCGCAGGGAGATGTTTGAAGACTATATTGAGGAACTCCAAAAGAAAGTAATTATCTGCCATTTTTCTCCTGTATATGTAACATTTATATGCATGTTGTGGATGTTTACATCCCTTAGTTGCAAAACGTACATTGGCATTGAGCAACTTCAGGCTGGGATGTTGCTGAGGAATCCTTGCTTGTCTAACTATTGTACCTGAGTTGACTCCTTAAGACTTGGTGTGCATTTGTGTGTGTTTCCACTTTCCAGTGTGTATATTTGTATGCCTGTATTTATGTACAGATAAAGGCATGGATATATTGAGATTTGCTCATTTTAAAGCTTGATTTTTGAATGGCTATTCTTAGCTGACAAACAGAGCTTTAGATAAGACTGACCTCATAAATTAGGTGCTACAAATGTAACCTTGCCATTTTTTCCATTCGTCCTCATTGTGATAGTATCTATTAACATAGTGTGGAAGTACTTTAAATTGACATTTGATGCCCATTATCATTTGGTGCTTTGAAGATCATAGATTCTAAGTAAATTTGCTCTTATTGCTGTTAAACTGGATTTGGAACAGGAACGAGCAAAAGCACAGGAGGAACGTAAGCGCAATGTATTGGAATACAGGAGATTCTTGGAATCTTGTGATTTCATCAAGGTTCTCTTTTAGCATGGTTCTTTTGTATTCATGGGGTTCTTTTGCCATTAAAACTTATGGATCTTGGCATCACCTTCTCATTTAGGCAAACATCCAGTGGAGAAAAGTTCAAGATCGTTTAGAGGCTGATGAAAGATGTTCACGTCTTGAAAAAATTGATCGTTTGGAAATTTTCCAGGTAATGCTTCTCATTTATCGAGTTATACTTCCAACCGGATGTTGAAGCTTATTGTAAAATGTTGTTCACAGGAATATTTGCTGGATCTACAAAAGGAAGAGGAGGAGCAGAAGAGGATACAGAAGGTTCTTTATTGTTTGACTGTGCTGACATTGATCTATATGTTTATGTTCAAATGGACAATTTTTTTTATTTGGGTTTTCTTGGAGAATAGGAAGAATTGAGAAAGGCAGAACGTAAAAACCGCGATGAGTTCCGCAAATTAATGGAAGAACATCTCACGGAAGGCACTCTTACATTCAAAACTCAGTGGCGTGATTACTGCATGAAGGTTAATATACCTTTTTCCCTGTATCTGTAACGTTATTTCCTCTGAAAAATTCAAAATTGTGATGAAAACATAATTTTTTTTCCAGCTACACTTAATTTAGCTGCTATCATGTTGTTATATCATGTTTTGAACTCCCTTTTTTTCCCCTTTTCTTCTGTCCTCTTTAGGTGAAAGACCTAACTGCATATCTGGCAGTTGCATCAAACGCCTCCGGTGCTACTCCAAAAGATTTGTTCGATGATGTTGTTGAGGAACTAACGAAACAAGTAATTAAACTATACCTTGCCTTTTTTATATTTCTTAAAATGAAACAGGATCTATAAATCTGTCCTCCAATGACGATTCGTCACCTTTCCCTATGAATCTATTTGGTTTAAGTTTCCATGTTTGGGTCCCTTCAGTTTGATTCTGTAATTACATTTCAGCAAGAATTTCTTCTTTCTTTTCCTGTAACAATATTAAAAAAGTTGTAGTTAAGCTTTTTTTTTTTTTTTTTAAATGCATGAGTAAGGCATCTTACTGTTTTTTCTTGAATCTTTAGTTTAGTTCTTAGTTGCTTACAAACTAGAAATCTTGCCTATTTCTTTTACAGTATCAGGAGGACAAAACTCGAATAAAAGATGCAGTGAAATTGGGAAAGGTTTGATTGCTCAGATTTTTCTTGTTTATATTTTCTACTATCATTAGATATCTAATGCGTGGTTGCTTTTAGGTCGTGCTTACATCAACTTGGAAGTTTGAAGACTTCAAAACTGTTTTATCAAATGATATTGGCACTCCACCGATATCAGATGCCAACTTAAAGGTACATTTAGACTTCAAACAAATATTACGATATTTAAACTTGAGAAGTCTTTAATGGGAGAGATTCTTCCTTCGGCTGCTAAATACGGTAGCACACACAGATGTAGGACCACACGGGGTTTTTGGAACCAAAATACATTGGTTGGGTGGTTGGATGGGCATGTAGTTTGGTCATTGGACCTTAGAATTTCTCTTATGGATATTAGCTTTCATCGTGTGGATCATTGCTCTTGAGAATCATCTAAATAACTAAAGTTAATGATTTGTGGAAACCACCATGGACAAACACTGGTCAACACATCAGTTATAGGTAACAATGTATTTGCTTGTAATTTTTAAAATCGTGCCTACACTTCAGTAACCAATGTACCAATTTTTCAAAAAAGCATCCAAGAACATATTCCAAAGAAGGTTGCTACATTTACTCAACCTCAGATATAATTCCCTAGTCATGATGAAGCTACCATATGCATTCTTAAACTAAATCAATGCCATTGTTCCAAATTTTCAGTCTTTGCCAGTCAAGTTGTCATGGATGAATTTTAGATGAACTTTTCACTGCTTTAGGATGAGGTAGATATAACTTATAAGCATTCAAGAAGTTTCAAGGAATATAACACATAGGAAAACATCACTATGTGCAAGTATATTCTTTCATATTGATGTTTGAAATGTCAACCAGAGTGGCGAAGTTTCCGTGTGGCAAGAAAACTCTGTTCTCTGTTGACAATTTAATTTTTAATGATCCATTGTTTTTATTTTTCCCTTTCATCCTACAATAAGTGCTTTGTTTTGGTAAATGTGCTGCAATGATCTTATGTGATTTTCAACTGCCTTGCAGCTAGTTTTCAATGAGTTACTGGAACGAGTGAGGGAAAAGGAGGAGAAAGAAGCTAAAAAGCTTAAACGTCTTGCAGAGGACTTCTCTCATCTTTTATCTTCTATCAAGGTGTGGCATGCTGTGTTCCAATTTCTGGTATTTATGATTCTGTTATTTTCCTAATGGTTTGGCAATTGGCACCAGTAGAATATCTTTCAATATTATCTTCTAGTTTTTGGTTTGAAATCTTGTCATCTTTCTGATTCATTATTTGCTGCAGGAGATAACTCCATCTTCCAAGTGGGAGGACTACAAACCACTTCTTGAAATTAGTCAAGAGTACAGGTATAGCTTATTACACGTAACAACTTGAATCACCTTCCAACTATGTTTTGTGCTATAATAGTGTTTTTGGTATGTGAATTTTAGGTGAAGTGTAGATTTAGTCCTTCAATTATCACCTCAATGAAAATTAGGTCCCTGAATTATTTTTTTTGGGGGAAAATCAGTCCCTAAATTCATTAAAAATTGCTAATTTCATCCCTACTATTATATTCAAAGCTATTTTATCCAATATTTTGTCAACTTAAGTGTGGGCACACGAGAAAGGATAAGATTAGGAATGAGGATATCCGAGGTAAAGTAGGAGTAGCCGAAATTGAAGGAAAGATGAGAGAAAATCGGTTACGGTGGTTTGGACATGTGCAAAGAAGGCCTATTGACGCTCCGGTTAGAAGATGCAACTACGGAACAGAGGTCCAGGGCCGAAGGGGTAGAGGAAGACCTAGGAAAACTTTGGAAGAGACTCTAAGAAAAGACTTAGAGTACTTGGATCTAACGGATGAAATGACACATAACCAAGCGCAATGACATTCTAGGATTCACATAGCCGACATCACTTAGTGGGAAAAGGCTTTGTTGTTGTTGTTGTTGTTGTTGTTGGTTCGTCAACTTAAGTCAATAGACACACTTTAGAGTGTAATGCCGTCATTTTTTCGCCTATAAGCCCTTAACATTTCATATAGGTTGCGGATCTAACGTCTAATTTACCCTCCAAAGTTAACTTACACTATTTCTTATGAAAAACTACCAATTTACCCTCCAAAGTTAACTCCATACACTATTACTTTTTGAAAAACTACCAGTCTACCCTCCAATATGCATCACATGCAAGTAATGTGACTGAAATTGACAGAAAATTGAATATAGTAGCTTCGAATATAATATTAGGGATGTAATTGACAGATTTTTATAGTTCAAGGACTGATTTTTCTGAAAAAAATAGTTTAGAGACCTAATTTTCACAGAGGAGCTAATTCAGGGACTAAATTGGCAGTTCACCCTTGATTTTATGTGGTGACAAACTATGGTTAATTTGAAGCACAATTTTGTGACTCATAATGTATCTGCTTTAACTATCACTTTTGGGCCTAAAGTTTAATATCTGAGAGATCTCTATTGTCTAGCCTGATGTTTAGGGCCGTAGAGAAGAAAATTTGGAAAATAAACAAAATTTTGAAGAAACTGAAATTAAAGTATAACGGGAAAGTTAAGTTCGGCATATTTCTTGTCACTGGATACGTTTGTTTTGGCTTTGTTAGTCTTCAATAAATACTATCCTCTTCCCTGATTATGTTAGATGCATGTGTAGTGGCATTGGTGATGAGAACTTCTGCAAGGAGATATTTGAAAAGCATGTAATGCAACTGAAAGAACAAGCAAAAGAGGAGAGAAAAAGAAAGGAGGAAAAGGTACTAATTAGCTGGATCACATTATTTGTAAATCCATATCTGTTTGATGTATAAGCTTTTATTCGCTATTCGATGTGGAATGAAACCTTGAATTTGAATCTATGAATTCCTTTTATATTACACCCTCTAGGCAAGGAAGGAAAAGGAGAGAGAAGAAAGAGACAAAAGGAGGGCGAAACCAAGAAGGGAAAAAGAGGTGGAATATGAACGAGAAAACGAGGAACACAACAAGAAAGATGGAGCAGACAATGAAATAGCTGATGCAATGGATATTCACGAGTCCAAAGAGAAAAAGAGGTCAGGACATGATGATAATAGGAGACATAGGAAGCGGCATCATAGTGATGAAGATCATGGGAATGGAAATGAGAATGATCGGTCTAGAAAATCTCACAGATCTAGCAGCGACCACAAGAAATCAAGACGGGTATGTTGAGAAATAATTGTGACTCTTCATTTGATTTATTATCTAAACATTGATGTAAAGTTTAGCTCATTTCTAATCGTGATGTCACAGCAGGAACCTGGTCCTGAATCAGATTCCGAAAGCAGACATAGAAGACATAAAAGAGATCACCGGAATGGTTCTCGTAGAAGTGGTGATCGTGAGGAGCTAGAAGATGGGGAATTTGGCAATGTTGGGGAAAGTCGGTAGTTGTTTCATCCTCCAACTTGGTTATACCCATGTTTAAACTTTTCTTAATATTGTGAAATATATGTTTTCCTTACAATCTTAGAACTTCTAGTGCTATATATTTAGTTCGAAAAGAGCTATTTCCTTTTTCTTTTACTAAGAATTAGCTGCATCATGCTGTACTACTTCCATCTAGTTTTAACCATTAACAGGCTTTCTGTTAAACTATTTTTCCGGTCTCTTCCTTGCCTTCTTGAGCTTGAGCATATTTGTTTCTTTTGTGTGGCCAAGGGTTTCATTGTATACACAATACAGAGGTTGCTTCTTTTTCCGGTAGTCTTTTGTTTCTCGGGGGTGGCCGGGCCTGAGAAGAATCACTTCCATTTGGTTTTTCTACGGAGAACCGCCACTTCTGTGGCTTTTAGCATTTGAAGTTGGTGTGGGACTTCTTTTCGTCTGTTGAAGCGACCTACTTCAATGAAAAGCTAGTTGCGAGTCGCTGAAAAACAAGTTTGTTGCGGCTAACTTGATGAGCCGTTGCCTTCATCGAAGTTTCCTGTCTTGGGGAGCATATTAGCTTTCTAGTCAATAGTGATGCAGAAATCATGTAGATTGCAAATAATACAAATGGAAGAAATGATATTTGAAACATGTCGTACTCTGTTTTTCTAACTTAATAGATATTGGTAGGATTTCGTTCAATGTTTTTATTCAATTTCTGTCATTTGGTAGATTATAGTGAAATTCAAATTATCTGAAGATTATACAAATGAAATTTTATTTTCTTTGGAAGATTGTACCTTTCTCGGCTTTTTTGTACTGCAGATTTGAATTAAGTTAGGTTAGCTAGGGCAGTGTACTATTCTTTTAGCATCCAAATTTAAATTACTATTTTCGTAATTGAGATTAATTTAGTGTAGAATATCGCTTATATCTAACTTGACATATATTATAAGGCTGCAAGCTTTGTAAGGGGTGACGAAAAGAAGCTTCTTTTCATTCCCATTGCCATGCCTACATTCTTACTTTTTCTCCTTATACTTTTGAGCCACCCAACCCTACCAACACCCAACAACTAATAATTAATTCCAAAAGAATGGTCTACGTTTAGCATATAAGAAGATTAATCAGAAAAATCCCACATAGTTTATTTATCATTTGCTTATGCCTATCGGCAAGTTATTTATATCTTTCTCGTTACGTGACAAGCATACGATAACTTTAAATTCCAAAATGAGGTGGCTGAGCATTGAAACTAATAAGGTTCAAAATGAGCGGTAAAAACCAAAAACTTCATTAAAATGGGGTAAGAACCCAAACAATTTTTTTTTTGCCACTTAGTATTACGATTCAGTAATATTTATCTTTACTTGTAATTAATGAGATATTTTAGGTTCGATTCTCATCAAATGCGAATTTGAATCACATTATTGTTAGTCCATTGTGAGGTTTAGCCAACTCCCCAACCTCATAGTGTACATAATATCGTTTGTTAAAAAAAAGATAAACAATTTTCCTAATTGTAATGTGTTCATATCACCTTGGAAGAATCCAAACATTTTTCAATAGTTTTTCTCTTTCCCACTTTTGTGTGTGTATTTTTAATAGTTAATTAAATAGAACATTCTTAATTACATCCTGCAATACCTACTAGGTGATTTATTCAACTAAATATTCGTCACCCGTGAAGCCTTCAGGTGACATTGGAGGGGACAGAATATTCGTATACACGTGTGCAGTTTTGGACTAATCCGATTTTTAATATCATTAAATTACTCTAATTTTAGATAAAAACAAAGATGTTATATGCATGGTTCTTGGAACATACGTGCATGCTTGCACTATTCGCTTACGTGCCTTCAACTTTGTCAACGAACGCGTACGTTAAATCTGTCGGTCCGTGACCAAAAAATACACCCGTGGAGAATAATCCTGTGTTCACAACTTCACATGCAGGTGTTAATTATAATTTACTAATTAATTATTTGATTAGCATTTGCATGGTTTGGATTTTAGAGATGGGGATGAAAGAAAGACTGAATAAACAATTCGTAGCAAATTGATAGACCTCATCGCCGACGGTGATCGAATCAAATATGCGATTGCACTTCAATGTTTATTAAATAATTGTCGCACATTAAATTTAAACTCGAAACTTTTTTAACTCAAAACAAAATAATCATCGACAATCAATTGTGATTATATAATATTAATGTGACTTAAAAAATATGTTCAACTTGTAACGAGTTAATGACATGTGTAGAACTCTTAAATTTACAATGTGGTTATTGACCAAAAAAAAAAAAATTACAATGTGGCAAAGGTGATACGTAAACAATATCTTTGGTTTAGGAGGTTTTTGGTTGTGCAAATGGATACTTTATTGTTAAATGTTAAGTTTTATACGGTTTGAAAGAATTTGTAGTTAAAATGGTTAAAAACCTGTATCCGAAATAGTAGATTTCCTTCGGCATACTCTCTCTGGTATAAAAAAAAAAAAGAAAAAAAAAAGTGATTTAGTTAATCTATAGTTAAAATATCAAATGAGCAAAATATTTATTCTTTATGTCACTTAGTACTATGGTCTAATAGTAATCTTCACTTATAAGAAAGGTCTTATGTTCGATTATTACCAAAGATAAATTTGAACCACATTATTTCTAATTTATTATGAAACTTAGCTCACTTTCCTACTCTTTAGTATAAATAATACCGTTTTTTAAAAGAAATCTGTCAAGTCGAATGGCATTATGACATCCCCATTCGAAATGCCGTTGCGGAAGCTTTGTCGTAATATTAAATACAATTGCGGCTAGCTAGCCTTCTAGAAATGGTCAACGGCTAATAGTAGGCAGAAACGAGTCATCAGATTCATTTTCAAAATTCCACATTTGCCCTTCCCATGTTCTTCAACTTCTATATATAGTCCTCCATACAGTCTCTCCTCACAATCTAATACAGCTAGCTAGCTCACATCTCATCGTTTTAATCAAACATGTCGTCCAAGCTCACCAGCCTCAGTGTGGTTGCCCTCCTCCTCTTCCTTACATTATCCGGCACGATGGCGCGGCCGTTGCTTTCTTCTTCTTCTTCTTCTTCTTCTTCTGATGTCAGTGCCATGAAAGTTCAACCTGAGGTAATTATTTCACTAATTATAATTTATTTCTTCCAAAACCAGATTATAAACTAGGTAACTTTGTGGTAAAATTTGCTAATTTGTGTTTTATTAATGTAGTTGAAGGATGTTGAGGTAGAAAAAGCCATGGTGGAGGAAAGTTGTGATGGAGTTGGAGAAGATGAGTGCCTGATGAGAAGAACTCTTGCGGCTCACATTGATTACATCTATACACAGAAGCACAATCCATAAATTAATTTTTCTTCATATGTAATTATGCATCATGTATTCTTAATTGATTTAGTTTATATTTCTATACTTAATTTACCAATTTATTTTAGGAATTTTTCTGTGTACTAGCCGGTGTATAAATGATATATAGAGTTGTGGAGTAGTTCTTCTATTTTCGGTTCATTTCTTTCCCAATTTTTTTGTTTTGTTAACTTAAAAGAACAATTGAATTTGAATACAAAATTTGTTATTTTTAAACTCTTAAATTGGAAATGACACCTATTTACATAGAATTTAAACTTAGGAATTATAGGCCTCAAATGCAAGTTTTTTTTTCCACATGGAAATTCTAAATTTCTATGTTTATAAATCCAAACAAGGGAATTGACGCATATCAATTTATAAATTCTGATTTTTGTCAAAATTTCAAGTTTATTTTCCTCATCCAAACAGTATAAAGTTGTCACTTAGTACCACGGTCTAGTGGTATTCTTCTTCTTTTGTAAGTGAGAGGTATTCGATTCGATTCTCGCCAAAGGCGAATTTGAATCACATTATTACTAGCCCATTGTGAGGCTAATCTCACCCTCTCTCTTTTAATGTAAATAATATCGTTTGTTCAAAAAAAAAAAAAAACAGTGTAAAGTCTTTACAATTCTCCTATATGAGTAAATCTTAAATAATAATTAATTACATATTCAGGGTTAAAACTAATAATGAAACTATTTGAACTAAATTGACTCAAGTCATCACAAATTAAGATGTTACCAAATTACCTTTACCAGAGATGGATGTTTGATCTATAAATGTTACATGTAATTTTATAGATTTAGATTCTTTTAGTAATATGATCTAGTGATATTTATCTTTACTTGTAAGTGAAATTATTTATTTTCAAATTTCGTAAATGGCGAGTTCAATATTAATTTATTCATTCACACTCTTAATATAAACATATTGTTAATTATATAAAAAAAAATACATTTAGAGATGGAGACAATAAAGTTGTTACTTAATTAAACAAAAACTTTAACAATATGTACTGGACATATATATAATAAGGAGTGTACCTTAATCCTAATAATTTGGAGACATATATCATATTGTCGACAAGTAATCGATCTAGATCATGAGATTGGTAGCTTGTAGCATCCGATGCGCGAATAATTAAGCACAATTTGTATTTTAATTGTATCTTTATCCGATGACATAAGGACAAGATCAAACATGATGAGGTTGTATGGAGGAGTGACAAGCGTGCATACTACCATAGTGGAATGCTACAAGGACATTGTGCTGACCATCTTATCATGACTGATATTATCCAGCCAGAAAAAAAATAAAATAAAAAATAAAAAAAAGGTTTTACCAAGTGAATTTCATACTAATAGATATCATTTGGCGGAAATATTCTTGTCTGTGACGATAATATTGTTACATGTATGGTGCTATATTAACATTAATCAGTGTATGATTAATATATGAATTTAAATGAAGTATACATACACGTGTTATATTTTAAGTAAATTAATAACATTGTATGACAATATGACGGTTAATCTAGCCCTAACATCAAATAAAATCTGAGATGTATCGATCCATTGTATGTGATGATTGAATGATTTGAATCTGTGTTATCTCCACTTACACGAGAGAAAAGACCAACTCAGTTGTTGCATACAACCAGGATAGACAAATCTTTTCTCCATTAGTTGATACAAAAGCACACGATAAGGCTGTTCTTTTGCTGGGAATCCCTTCTTTTCCGAGTCAACCAAACTTTGTAAAAGTTCTTCCTTTATGTAGATCTTGGACCGACTTGAGGATTGAGATTGTCACAATTTCTGTCATTATTGCGTGTATGCTTTCTAGCAGTGATTTCTAAAAGCATATTTGTATACATATCATCCGTATTCGATTTCTAAAGAATGACATTGTTGATATTTCATGAACTTTAGTCTTTAAAAGCATATTTGTGTCCACAGCTTCAACTCCTCTCTCCGTTCTCATGGTCACAATCATTTTCGTATTTCTCAGTCATTATACGTTAATAAATCTAAGCATGTTAAAACATTTTTCTTTCTTTCTCCCCTATAAATAAATCTTCGAAGCAAACTGTAGTTTTGTATATTTTAGATTGACCTTATTCCAACGCATCTAATCGCTCTCATCTTAATGCCAAAATTTGAACCACACACAATATGGTTGGTTTTTGACTTTACTAGCTTACATATATCAAGTACACGTACGTCTCATTTGATGATCTTTAGAGGATATGATATAAATGCATGCCCTCAGTATTAGCTAGGATGTGATCCAATGCGCCCCATAAACTCGATTGATCACTATCAAGAGTCATATATCCATGCATGCCCTACCCCAATAATCTGGTTGAAAATAGTAAAGGCATTACTGCGTTGAGTGTTACGTATACAAAAATGTCCAAGCATGCATGTGAAATATGTGATCAGAATTAGATAACCTAGTTTTGTGGTATACATGGCTGCAGCAACGTGAGCCATTTCATTTCTAGAGTTCTCCTCTATTCAATTCTTGCAACAAATCAAAGCATGAGAGGATACCTACGTGTTATCTGTTGCCACCAATATTAATTAATGGTCCACCATATATGTTATATGCATGGCTATGCTGGCTATCTTTGAAGGTTGCTTTGCCACCCACGTATTTAGAGTCCGGTGTGTTCTGATAACCTGAAGGATTAAGATGTGTTTGATTTGACCTTAATACGATTCTATAATAAATTTTTCTCCAACTTAACTTTTCGCCGATACTTCTAAATCTTATTTAGTTACAAGCCAACGTTACAAAGTTCTGCTAGCAATTTTCCATCATTCATATATGGGATATGGGTCAATGAAATTAAATAGCAGTTGCTGCGATATCTTTATTTAGAGAATTCTAGCATTTAATAATCAACGTTCAACTGCCTACTGCAACCGGCGGGCACACTTGTCTAGTTGTGCTTAAATCATCAGTAGTTAATTTGGCAGCATCGCAACGACGTGCTAGCGCTATAGCTAGATAGACAATTTAATTCGGCTTCAAACAAATATTATGTCACGTCACAGTCCAGCAAAAATGCCCCATATTTCTTTTCAAAACGAATGAATTTTGAACTTGAGACTTATTCTATGCAAATTAGTATTTGCCCTAACATAAAATGATCACTTAGGCAGTTGCATTTTTTTTTGGGCAATAGGTAACATTTTATTACCAACACACCATACATACAAGAGTGGAGGCCCAAAAACACACAAAGCACACAGCAACATTAGGACCTCCAAAACAACGACAAAAGAAAAGCCCAACCCAAAAAGTGAGCCCAACACAAAAAAATACACACAAAGAAATCCTAAACGCCTGGATCCTCTTCTGCTGCTGAAGCACCTGCAGTACTTGTCGCCAACTACAAACAAGTCCTCCTGTAAATGCCAGAGATAAGAACTCGCCAAACCCCTACAACATAAAAAAGAACCAAATTTTATTGTCCTCTAGCAAACACCCCACAACTTGGAGCGCAACCACTAAGATAATAAAGGGAAAGTACTCCGAACATGTAGCAGTGTCGAGGGATCGACACATAGTAGGAAAGTGGTGGTGTAAAAACCCAAGCCGGAGCTCTACGCACTTTCCAATACTGTAGTGAAACACGGCTAAACAAAATGGTTACGAATCAGAGCAATTTTGGAGTGCAGAGAGGACGAATCCAAGCAGGATAGAAAGAAAGTGATTTGAGTATATGCATGGGGGTGGAGAGATAAGTGGGAGAAGAAGAAAGGGGAAATCGGGGAAATAAATATTTCTAATTCTGGATAGAGGTTGGTTAAGTCAAAGGTGCAAGGGGGTGGAAACAAAGGGGAGAAATAGGCTAGAAAGTAGAGAGCAATAAAGGAGAGAAACAGGAAGAAGAAAAAGGAAAATGACTGCCATCGACCCTGGCCATGCTTGGGGCTGCGGCTAAATGATTTACCGGAATTTGAAGAAATTGCTCACACAAGGGAGAAAAACTCTCACACAAAGAGAAAGACTCTCACATTGGAGAGATTGCAGAGAAATCATGTCGTATAGCCCACCCGTCGTTTTCTTCAAACTTTCATACTCTTTCGCTCAATTTTTGAAACAAACATCACAACCTCCAAATGATGCATGAATTGATAAGTAGTTTCTTTCATGTTTTTAAGATTTTTGTGCCTTTAAGTTGGGGTAAATCTTGGTGGGTACATGTGAATATTACATTTGAGTTTGGTTGCACTTTACTAAACTCAATTATTCAGTGAGGTTCATGTAACACACAAAGTTTCTATTCAATGTTTGGCTATTGGTAACCTTTCATTGAATACTAGGGCTTCGTATTTTGCATACACTTGCAAGGTGTGTTTGTTTGGCATCACTAGTCTTCACTAGATTGGATTGGACTAATGATTAATGAAGTCCTATGTTTGTTGCAAAGAGGGACTAAGTTTAACGGGACTCGTGAGGACTAGCATGGACTAGCGCCTTCACTAGAAGGTCTTAGCCAATCCCCTCAAAAATGAAAGGATTGTTAGTCCTGTCTTCTCCTTCGTTCGCCAGCAGCAGCCTCGCCAACAGATCCTCACCAGCAGCAACCTCTCTTTCATTCTTCTTCGTTCTCTATCTTTTCTTTGCACCAACAGCCTTATCCACCCCAATCATCTTCTCCGATAGTGGTGGGCAGTTGTTCAATTCCCCGCCCGCTTCTCTGTCTTCTCCTTGCACCTACAGCCCCACCCACCCCACTCTTCTTTGTTATCTGGGAAATTAGGGATTCATCTTGCAAACTGTGGGGATTCTTCCTAATTCATCTTGCTTTGTTTGTTTGATTACTGTTGTTATGTCATTTCATGGATTTGTAGGAAGAAGTTTGATTTTTTGTTGTCTAAGTTGTTATTTAAACTTGATTATATTTGATCAGGTTTATCGACTATGATATATATAACATATTTTTCTTCATTAATTTTGAAATGTTAATTAATTTGAGTATTTGGGTTGTCCAAAATAAGTGTGATCTGGGAAACTAAATCTTTATCTTGGTAGGGAATGAAATACGATGGTGGTTCATGTAATCCTTGCTGCTTATGAATATTTTCTGGGATTTTCAATTGCGAAGTGCGAAGCTTATTTGCCTATATG